TGTATCGTGTTTTTTCTTTAGAGTTAGCTTTTGTTTTAAAACCATTCACAATAATAGAAATATTTTCTGATGATTATTGTTACAGAATGACGTAATATGTTTGGTTTTATAATTTCAATTCAATAACCACCATCATATTATCGGTGAAGACGGTATCAAAGATATGAATGTATAATCATTGTAATTATAAAACAAATAGTGTAGAACATGGAGATAATAGGTTAAATCATCTACTGCAATTATATGTTCATTAAAGGGAGATAACGTAAAGGACATTTGACTACCTCCCCTTTTGATTTTTTTTTTAACATTCGTACAAATTTTGATTTGATATAAATACGATTGACACAAAAAACATAAACCACTTAACAAAAGATGAAGATGCCTTTTAATATTGCTCGCATTGTGCTCTACATGAAAATATTAAATGTTTATTTAGTATATTATGATAATGTTTAAACTCAAACACAGACGCACGCACACCCCAGTGTTTAGATAAAATGGTGATATCTTCTGAATCTTTTTGAAAGGAAAATTAACATTCATACATGCAAAACCTAAACATCTGATTTTCCTTAGTTTCTATACAAGAATTTGAAAGTGTACACAATTACATCTACGTAAATCAAGCACATATGCACATATAAATAATAACTCATCAATTAACATAGGGATTGTCAGTCAAGCAAAGCAGAGCAAATATGAACTTACAAGCAATTCAGAAGAGATAAAGTGTTAAGTTTATGTGAAATTGAAATGTACCACTTATCAAGCTTTAATGTTTTAGTAAAGTCTTTATTTTTATGTTATTTGATTGACAGACCTTTTCATTATAACAGCGATTTTTATATATTTGCTTTTCAAAGTTTTTGTACTGTTATTTAAGCCTAGTATACCTAACATGAATATATAATTGTTATTGATTCTCCAACAATAGTCCTGGTTTTACTGTTACTGAAATCAGATAAATAACACATTATTGCCCAAAACATCAAATAGATAGATAAATTAATAAAATAATTAATAAAATAAATAAATAAATAAATAAATGAATAAATAGATAAATAAATAAATAAATAAAATTTACTTTAGGTAGCCGATTGCGGCCATTATAATCCGATATACTATGATGATACATACCTTGTAAAAACTCGAGTTTGAGCATTCAGCCTTGACATTTTGTGCCGGGAAATGTCTCTGCGCTAAAAGTCGCGGCTAAAAAGTCGCCGATGTTTGACAAAAAGTCGTCGCGAATAACAAATTCTCGACATTTTATGGAAACGTCATTGTCATTGAACAAAAAGTCGCGGCCTATAATTTTTCCTCTCGACTTTTGTAGAATTCCTACAACACTTGCAAAAAAAAAATGTCGCGGATTTCTGTACTACGACTTTTTATAGACACACGAGGAATAAATAGTCAAACCATGGACGCTACCGGCCACCGAAATAAAAATGTTCCTTGCTGTTTCCAACAACTGTTATAAAATATCGAGTTTTATACGTTCCACGCTACATTTTGTATTATTTCAGTAGAAAATCTCGCGGATTTGTAAGTTGCCCGCGACATTTTTTGGAAATAAAACCACCTACTTATTTTAACCACTTATTTGAACCACTTATTTGAACCACTTATTTGAACCACTTATTTTGCTTGCCTCTTTTTTTTTTGGAAACTTTGATACTACCAAAACTTACACATATACGTCACTTGCGCTGATTTGTTTTAATCTGCAATCGTTCCTTGCTGTTTCCAACAACTGTTAAAATATCGAGTTTTATACGTTCCACGCGACATTTTGTATGGTTTCAGTAGAAAATCTCGCGGAATTTTAGGTTGCCCGCGACATTTATGAAAAAAGATAAAATTTCTGGCGGGTTTGAAATGGCCGCAACTGGCCATCATAGATTCCAGAGTTTGTCTATAAGTTCATGGCTTCCTGCACAAACAAACTGATAACAAAATGTAAAGTTGTACCAGAAATATGAGAGAAATTAATCACGGTCGCGAGGATTTAGTAAAGAGGATTTTTTGGATTTCCAAAATTCCCATATCTTTTTTAGTTTGAGATTGCTAAGCGTGTGATAGTTAATGACATTTTCATTGATTGTCTATGAAATGATTTAAATACATCCATACAAATGACACAATCATAATGTAGCATGTGTTGGATGAAAAACCGTTTGTTTTAGATTGGTACATATATAATAGCTGGTGAAATAATTTGTTTATCTTCTAAAGTATCATGTTTGGATTTAATACAACTATTTGTCTTCAAATTTATACATTGTTGTACACGCTGTTCAAAATAAAAACATGCTTTTACCGTTTATATTCCCATTTATTTTACCGTTTCCAAATTGTATTGAATACATAGTTTGAGTATTAACCCCATTTGACCATAGTGTATTTAACTTGTGAATAAGAAATGATATAACATGTCTAGACAATTTAATTTCAATTTAATGATACTCAGATAATGGAATATACAATGGAAATTTTTATACCTGTTTTTATGTTAGAATTATCATAACATTTTAGCCATACATCATGTATTTATCAAAAATGGCGATGTAGTTGTGTCATGTTTATTCTTATTTTAACCACTTATTTGAACCACTTATTTGAACCACTTATTTTAACCACTTATTTTGACCACTTATTATAACCACTTATTTTAACCACTTATTTCAACCACTTATTTTAACCACTTATTTTAACCACTTATTTTAACCACTTATTATAACCACTTATTAAAACCTCTTATTTTAACCACTTATTTTAACCACTTATTTCAACCACTTATTTCAACCACTTATTTCAACCAAATATTTGAACCACTTATTTTGACCACTTATTATAACCACTTATTATAACCACTTATTTTAACCACTTATTTTAACCACTTATTTCAACCACTTATTTCAACCACTTATTTTAACCACTTATTTTAACCACTTATTTCAACCACTTATTTGAACCACTTATTTTGACCACTTATTATAACCACTTATTATGACCACTTATTTTAACCACTTATTTTAACCACTTATTTTAACCACTTATTATAACCACTTATTATAACCACTTATTATTACCACTTATTATAACCACTTATTATAACCACTTATTTTAACCACTTATTTTAACCACTTATTATAACCACTTATTATAACCACTTATTATAAACACTTATTATAAACACTTATTTTAACCACTTATTTTAACCACTTATTCTAACCACTTATTTTAACCGCTTATTTTAACCACTTATTTTAACCACTTATTTTAACCACTTATTTTAACTTATTTTAACCACTTATTTTAACCACTTATTTTAACTACTTATTTTACTTGCCTCTTTATTTTTGGAAATTTGACACTACCCACACTTACACATATACGTCACCTGTGCTGATTGGATTTAATCTGCAATCGATATAAATTATTACCACCTTATTTTGACTCAAATGGATTACTAAATATCAAAAGAAAATGTGAAAGTTGATGATATTTTTTTCGTGTACTGAAATAAGTAAAACGCATCAATAATTTTGCTGGAATTAATTTTCAATAATTGTATAATGGAGTTCAGGTTTATTTGGATTTTATTTAAAACCATTTTTGATAATCTTTCAAGGATTATGTCATAAATAATTATAGGTTATAAATTTTCTTTACATTCTTAATATTTTGCAGAAATCGTATTGAACTATTTTCGGCTAAATTTTCTACATAAAAGTAATACAGAGCTTAAGTAAAACAATTAAAACGACCACATTATATTAGTTTTGACAAACGCTCTTATTAAGAATTATTAATAGTTGCTACATAGTCTCTTTGTAAATATAGAATAAACATGTTTTGACTTCACTCAAAGTAGATATGTTATATTTTAAATTCTTAACAATTTAGTTGGTCAAAATAAATATATACTGTCATAAAAAATGGCAGATTTTTCAGAAAGGACCTGCTTTACTTAACCGGTAACAGGGAACATAGCTTCCCAATCATAGTTTATTCATTCTGTTTTTCAAATAAGATATGTTCAGTAAGAATTTTATAGATTTCAATAAACTTTTGTGACTAAATATTTTACTCCAGGATAAGCATAGAAATAAATAAAACAAAGTAGGTGCAACATTTTATTCTTCTTTCTTTTTTGCATACAGAACATAAGAATAGTAGTCATAACAAATCTTAAGTTTTTATGTATTAAGCAAATACTCAATTTGATAATTCCTTTTACTTTTCATGCATTGACCATGACTGTTTAATTAAGTTATTAAAATTAACTATTTCAATTAAATGATATACATCAGAAAAAAAAACGTTATAAATGAATAAATAGATGAAAACATCAAGTTTACATCTTATTCAGTGTTTACGAAACCTCTCGTCAAGATATTTCTCAATGTCGGTAGAAAATTGTTTGTTATATTGTTATGCAAATAAATTCACTTCTCAATTATTTTTTTTACAACGAAGAACTATTCAAACGCATTTTACTCAAGTATTTCTATGCTACCGTTTTTCTGTTACACAATATTTTAGGAATCGATTTCCCTATATTATTGTGAGTTATTTCAAATAGAAAATCACAAACACAAACACATGGCTGCTGATTGTTTGTTTTACCAATATGTTATTTATTTTGATCCTTAATTCAATATCATCACCTGTTGTCTTGTTCTCGGATACACATTGATTTTCTAACAGAACGATTACATTACAGAGAGATCGTTTCTTTACCTATAATAATCTTGGAGTCCATATCATTAAAAAAAATCAATGGTTATTTTCAACATGTGTCAACAAAAAATAGCATATGGAAGATTAACAATATATTTATGTTAAGACAGGCTAATTTATATCTGTTACGATATGAAGCAATATTATTATTGAATAATGTCAATGTTTTTTTTTATGTTTGTTCCACGAACACACCAGCACTTGAATAAGTTGACTTGCAGCTTTAACTTTAAATTGGTGAAATTAAATCATAAATCATTTGGTCTTCTACATTGACTGATATTTGTATGCATATCCATTCTAGAAAATGTTTTTCTATACTTTGGTAAATTATTTAGTCTTTTACAAATTTCGCATTTAAGTGCGTCCGGATCATTAACAATGCTTTTATATCGATCCTTACTTTGCAAAAAGTTGATATAATCTTGTTCACTGCTTCCTAACTTCATGAGGTATGCTACTAAACTGGAAATATCTTTAAAATCTGCCGTGTTAATGTACGTATTTGTTGGAATAAGTTTATGATAATCTGCTCCTCCTCTAACAACAATGATCCAGTCGTGATTGTAATTACGAAAAAACTTTTCGGAAATAAAATCATCGCATAATGCGGTTTCAAATGCAAGGTAGAATTTATATTTAGGAATGATCTTATAAAGATCTTTGACTTCCAGCCCATCATTTCCACATACACCTAGCATATCTACTTCAAATCCATGGTTGGTCATTTCTGTAATGTATTGTCTTCGAGCACTTGATGATTGGCATTGTCTGACAAGCCAAAGTGCATTTCTGGTTTTTCTATTGTACACATATTTATAATCCTTTCCGGGTATGACATCCTGCGGTAAAAGATATCCTCTCGCGTCTACTATGTCAGAGTTAAGTGTGTACGATATTGACCAGTTCATTGTATTATACCAAGACTCGCGTTCATAATCTAAATTATAATAATCAACAGGAGGAAAATTAGAAACAAATATCCACACTTGATTGGCATTTCTTAGATAGCCAGGAATAGGTGGCTCAGTTCCCATTCTTTCATTTCTTATTCCTATGTTAAATATTACAGCATCAGCAGACTGGAGACCATTCTGATTTGTAGTAAACTCACAATTACTACAACTGCACGAATCTAAAGTCGGATATTGGTCGTACAGATGTTTCCGTTTTCTTTCTTCATTAAACAAAATGATAAGTTTTGAACTTCTTGAATTGTTTACACAATCATTTTCTGATTTCAGATTTAAATCAGTCAGATTCTCTATTATGTAAAATCCTTTTTGTATAGAACGTCCTGCAGGTAACGGCCGAATAATAAAATAGTATAATAGTAAAGCAGAAAACACAATATTCATTAAGTGTAATCTAGTTCTTTTAAAAAACATATTATTGTAAAATAAGCATGTGTTTTTAAAAGTATTTAAAATCACCTGAATCTTTACCAAAATACCTTTTTAATAAAATGCTAATTGTTCTTTAAGATGACTTTAATGATAAAAGTACCGTAATTTTCCGAATTTCCTTCAAGAAAATAAATAAAATGGCGGACTTGTAAGTATACAAAACGAATGTTTATTGATCCATCAATTGTAAAAAGGATGTTCCATCACATGAAAGAGTAACATATTGCATTATATGAAATCTGTATCAAGTAATCAATCCTAACATTGTGTATATACAAACATTTTACATACATGTAAAATCATAGTTATTTGATAATCAGAAGAGACAAAACAATGATGTACGTTGTTTTGACATTGGTAAGACTAAAATCAAACAACTACTTAAAACAAAACGTAAATATATGAAGTCCTTACATGTTTTATGTTTTCCTTGTACATGGATTAAATAATTAAGATTGTTTACGAGGTTTTCTAAAGGATACTTGATCTCCAATACACCAACTATAACCCTTACAAACGCTTGCTATACTGATTTATTTTAATAAAACTTGTGTTATGCTTATTGTATCACTGACTGTCGGCATTTAAACCCACATAACGAATCTTTTACCTTTTCCAAGGTCTGATTATGATGTCGTTTACGTTCAAATATTGCCCGAATCACATCACGATATATTCAAACTAATAAAGGATTAATGTTTTATCTAACTTTGATTTCTTTCATTCCATTCTTTCTTTTGTACACCGAAATGTGGGAACTAAATCAATTATTCGTCACACAATTTGTGTGGTTTGGTTATTTCTGTTATTAAATGTTTAGGTTATTGTACTTAAACGTTTTTGCCTGATGTGTTTGTGCATGTGTGCTTTAGTATACTTTGATTTTATTGACCTGTCAATTATGAATACATTATAGCACTCATTTAAATATTCGATCCAACTTCGGTTTTGTCCGTGTTATTTACGAGAATTAATGTGGAGTATATTAGTCATGTTTTGAAAGTCACACCAGCATAATGTGGAGGTTTTCGTTAATTCACAAAAGCACAGTCGGTTAAGTGAATGCCTGATAATTTACAGGTCTGTGGTTCGATCCCATCTGTTGCCATTGTTATAGTTTCTTTATTTTTACAGTATATTTTTATGGAATCGATTTGTTGTTGTTTTACGGGATTGAAATGGCATTTAATGATTTTGATCCGAATGAATTTTAAACAATTATTCTTAAACTATGTTATTTAAAAAGAGCATAATCTTTACAAAATCAAGTAAAACATAATAAAACAAAACGAACAACATAAAAAAATCACATATATATATTCAATAATGTTAATATCAATAAGAAGGAAAGAAAAGATGGACCTACGCGGTTTTGAACTTAAAATAAGTACGGCAATTATAAACTCGTATTTCACCCTTTTGCGCTATAACGCTCATTACACTTATTTCTTTCATACAACTTAAATAAAATCAAATCACATCGTACAGCGTACATCTCACGGAACTTACCGAAAATCTACCGAAGATTAATATATTTTGTACATTGACCGTGTAATCAGAATGTAATTAACAGGTAAATAAAATCAAACAATATCTAAGCAACGAAGTACAAAATATTCAATGCATTGTCTGACCCACTGTAGTTTTCAAATTAAGTTCCACATGTTTTCTTGTAAGGGGCAAGACTTCTACGTTCGATGGATCTACATATCTGCAGTTCATTGAAAAAATTCCGGAAAAAATCGGCAAGAACTCCTTTTTCTCAACTACGCTATTTTCTCGCCATGCTGAGAGGACAGCTATTGCTAGTATTGCGAGCTGTTAAATATACTATTTGTGGAGAAAATGTTGATACATTTTTTGCTCTCGAGTTTTAAGATTTAATAATATTTTATTGCTTATATATATACATGTAAATATACTTGTCGGGGACCATCAACCGGACACTTTTTAACAATTTTCCAAACAGAAACCTAAAGAACTGAAAATTTGATACAGTACAGCTAGGTACTTCTCCTAACTAACAAACTAGTTTGTTTATTTCTGATTAAATTGATACTTGTATCTGAGGCCTGCCGTCAAGGGTGTCAAAATTACCAAAATTGTCTACACTACAGTACCATGTGTCCAGACGGATATGTACATGACGAGATTTAATTCAGATTAAAGCTTGCGTGTTTTAATTTTTTATTTTTTTACTTCTTATTTCAGTCGGATATTTTTAGTTACATATTAATTTAAGAAGTATTTAGTTTGAACATATTTATTGCATACATTATATAATCAGACCACAACATACTCAGAAATGATAATTCGACTGAAATAAATAATTAGTGATAAATAATAAGTGATAAATAATAAGTAATATATTATAATTGATAATGATGTTAAACATATTAAGTAGTAAATAATAAATAATTAGTAAAAAATAATAATTTTCCTTCCAGGACTTCCGTAATATATGACCTTAGATAAATGATGTTCTTACGGTTCTCCTTCATCTTTTCCGATAATTGTCTACTGAGTTTTTTCCTGTCAAAAATGGGGCTGTTCAATACTAAATATAAGTAATAATCTGTAAATAATAAGTGATAAGTTATAAAGAATAGGTAATAAGTAATAATTTTTAAATAATAATGTCCCTCCAGGGCTTCCGTAAGAAATAGCTTAGTTTAAAGAAATATATCTTTAATATTTGATATGTTATATGTATAAGGTGGCGTGAGATATAATATTTTCTATAACAGACATTATGTGAATTTAAAGCTGTTTTGATACGAACATAACATCACCTTAATATAATACTGAAATACTATTTTAATTAGAAAAGTCCTATATTAACAATTTAATGACCGTTATAAAACTTTTTATTTACTTGCAACATTTTATTATCATACAATAATGCTTTATCTTTGGCACTTAAACATTAGTAACTGTTATATATAACTGTTACACTTCTTATGGAACTTTTCACAATTCCAGTAAAAGATCACGATGTTTTAAAAGTAGTTCTTTCTCTAGAGACAATACAGTCTTTTCACAATTGTAACATCTAGTGTCACCATTGTAACACCTTGCTGTCACCATTTCACATCGTGCTGTCACCATTATAACATTGTGCTGTCACCATTAAAATATCGTGCTGTCACCATTACAACATCGTGCTGTCAACGTTATAACATCCTGCTGTCATAATTATAATATCGTGCTGTCACCATTCTAACATCCTGCTGTCATAATTATAATATCGTGCTGTCACCATTGTAACATCGTGGTATCAACATTGTAACATCGTTACGTCAACATTTTCACATCGCGATGCCACCATTATAACATCGTGTTGTCACCATTGTTACATCGTGTTGTCACTTTTGCAACATCGTGCTGTCATTATTGTTGTATCGTGTTGTCACCATTATAATTATTATCTTGCTGTCAACATTATAATATTATGCTGTTACCATCGTGCTTCTTTCAGTGTAGCGTCATGCATTCACTTTTGAAATATCATGATTACGTCATTGTTTCACCGTGCTCTCACCATTGTGGCATCGTGCTGTCACCATTATAACATCGTGCTGTCACCATTATAACATCCTGATGTCATCATTATAATATCGTGCTGTCACCATTATAACATCCTGATGTCATCATTATAACATCGTGCTGTCACCATTATAACATCCTGATGTCATCATTATAATATCGTGCTGTCACCATTATAACATCCTGATGTCATCATTATAACATCGTGCTGTCACCATTATAACATCCTGACGTCATCATTATAACATCGTGCTGTCACCATTATAACATCGTGATGTCACCATTATAACATCCTGCTGTCACCATTGCCCATCAAGTGTCACAATTGTAGCATCGTGCTGTCACCATTACAACATCGAGCTGTCACCATTATAATATCGTGCTATCACCATTAAAACATCGTGCTGTCACCATTACAACATCGTGCCACCACCATTATAATATCGTGCTGTCACCATTGTAACATCGTTCAATCAACATTTTCATATCGCGATGCCACCATTATAACATCGTGCTGTCACCATTGTTACATCGTGTTGTCACTTTTGCAACATCGTGTTGTCGCTATGATACTATCTTGCTGTCAACATTATAATATTATGCTGTTACCATCGTGCATTTTTTCAGTGTAGCGTCATGCATTCACTTTTGAAATATCGTGATTACGTCATTGTTACGACGTGCTCTCACCATTGTGGCATCGTGCTGTCACCATTGTAACTTCGTGCTGTCAACATTGTAACTTCGTGCTGTCACCATTGTAACATCGTGCTTACACCATTGTAACATCGTGCTTACGCCATTGTAACATCGAGCAGTGACCATTGTAACATCATGCTGTCACCAATGTCACATCGTGCTGTCACCATTGTAACACCATGCTGTCACCATTGTAACACCATGCTATCACCATTGTAACATCGTGCTTACGCCATTGTAACATCGAGCAGTGACCATTGTAACATCATGCTGTCACCATTGTCACATCGTGCTGTCACCATTACAACATCATGCTGTCAACATTGTAACACCGTGCTATCACCATTATAACATCGAGCTGTCACCATTATAACACCGTGCTATCACCATTATAACATTGTGCTTTCACCATTTTAATATCATGCTGTCACAATTGTAACATCGAGCTGTCACAATAATAACATCGTGCTGTCACCAATGCATCATCGTGCTGCACCATTATAACATCGTGCTTTCAACATTGTTATAACGTGTTGCACCATTATGTCATAACATCGAGCAGTCACAATTATAACATAGTGCTTTCACCATAATAACATCGTGTTGTCACCATTGCAACATCGAGCAGTCACCATTGTTACTTCGAGCAGTCACCATTGTTAAATCGAGCAGTCACCATTGTAACTTCATGCTTTCAACATTGTAAT